TTACACGAAAACATAAGAGATATACCGAAATATGAAGAAAAAAACGTGACTTTTTTTTTTTTTGTTACCTTCACATCCAATGGCATTCCGTGAAACTGACCTGCACCTTCTGGTGGTGTCCAGTTATAAGTTGAGCATGGCAAAAATAGTACCGAGGCACCACCAATTTTGTCTTGAAAGGCTTCTCTTCTAGAAAATTTATTGACATTAAAATTAGGGTGAGATCTAACAACCCACGCAAGGGCTAATTGATCTCCAAGCATCCGTGAAGCTCTCATGAATCTTGAAGTATAAGCTTCCAGCACTTCGTGTAAGAAAGCCATTCCCCTGCCACCAGTTAAACATCATCTCAGAGGCCACATAGAAAAATAATACTCATTTTTTAAATTATTGGCGATTTAAAGCATATACTATTTTTTTTGTAGACACAGCAGCAAAGAGCACAAAAAGGAACGAACAAAATTAACCCACCTTTTAATCCCTTCGGGAGTTCCCCTAACTGCAATGAAACCTGAATTTAGAGGTTGCTCTTTGTTGTTTCTGAAGGTGAGAGCTACATCAAAACTAGGATAGTCGGTAAATATTCGTCCTAGGTCATCCACTACAGCTATATCAGAGTCCGTGAAAATGAAATGAGCGACTTGCTCCTGCTTTTGAGTCAGCTTCTCGAGCTTTGCTTCTAGGAAGGCCTGAGCAAATAACATATAATGCAAATAAGAAGCAATTGAGAATTCTTTGCTTTCAGAGAAATTGATTGGATTTTCAAAGATAACCCTGGCCGGTAATACCATATCAAAACAAAATCCACATGTTGTAATAAAATATCTTATTCATATGCACTACGGAGCTCAAGTAAAAAAAAAAAATAAAAATATTAAAGTAATAACGAATAGCTTGTCGCCATTTTCTAGCAGTGTCTTGTGATCTTACAATGTAAGACCTGATTCTTTGGAGCATCAACTTGTCTCGGGAATATTCACCTGGTATCGGTTTTACAGTAACCATGTCTCGATGCAGTGAAAGGTCAGAGGCGGGGTCAGTAAGAATGATAACATTACTTTGAGGCATGGTAACCTGCAATGATGTTTATTCTGTGAAAAAGTAGTATATTGCTGTTGCTACTAAAATTAACAAAGACCAGCTACATAATGGCCAAAATAATTTCTAATTCGCATTCTAAATAAAAGAAAAATTACCTGAATGAAATTTATGAAAGCATTGAGAATGGCCCTTGATCTCTCAACTTTGTTATACGACATGTTTCCAACAGTTACCAAATCAACCGGTCTACTCTCAACAGTGGAGTTGTAGGTAGTAAAAACAGTGACGAAAACTACCCCATCCATTGAATGAGACCTGTTAATGGATGTTCCAAATCGCATCTTGCTAAGAGCCTTTCTCTCTGCAAACATTTCAGGTTAACCTCTTAGCACAATTATCATATGAAGGGGAACTAACTGTGTTTTAACTATTACCTGAAAGTTGAGTTTGTGCAAAATAAGTTCATATACCCATGAACTAGCAACTGTTTGATATAAAACGTGCAAAAGCATATAGAATGGCTGTAAAATCAGATATAACCTTGATCAAATGTGTACCAAAACTATCTCTTAAACACTTACTGCCAATGATCATCAGCAAACGAGAGAGGAAAAGACCAGACGTCCTTAATATGGTACGAGTTTAAAAAATGAACTACTGCAGTATCCAGACAACTGCACAAAATCTCAACATATAGAATAAGGCATTTTTAAAGATTAGGTTTCTAGTACTATCGAGGTAAAAAGGGATATATTGGCAAAAAACATTGGTTGTGAAGAAGATAAAATGGCGTTCAGGTTCAGCAACTGCGCCAAATGCAATTTACACGACAAACTGTTTAATTAATACTAACAAGTAAACAAACAATATTTAACCAATCAAATTCAAAACAAAACTAATAAGCATTAGTTTCCTCTAACTTTCAATTCAAACCACTAGTTTGTGCACTGATAATAAATAAATAATTAAGTGCAACCTCGGCATTGCAAACGGTCGGGCAGTCCCTCGCCAGCAGCAGGGCCAAGAACAAGGTGATCGAATTTCTTCTGCTTCACTTTATGTAAATCTCCCAAATCCGTTTGTTGATGGAGCTCCTTAACTGTGAAAAGCACCCATTTCACTTCTCACTCAGAATTGTCAAAACAGACTTAAACACAGCAAAAGAAAATAAATTCATGATTTACGGAAAACAAATCTGAAAGAATTTGCTCCTCAACCTGAGAGCAAATAGGGAACGAAGATAACTATGGGCAGACATAAAAGCAACCGATTCCAGCCAAGGCACAATCTCTTTCCCGCCATACTCATTCCACAAACTGCTGATTTTCAGCTTAAAATACTACGTTCAATCTCTTTTCTCCATAAATACTTCTGCAAATTGCCCAAAAAAAAAAAAAAAAAGTGTGGCATTAATTAGCATGTAACCTGATTACCTGAACCGAATGAATGCAGCAAACACGTTAACCGCGAACTCATTTCAGCACATACAGGTCAATTTCAACAAAAACTCTCAGTTTATAACATGATAACAACGTATTAAAACAACGAACGAAAAAATCAAGAGGAAGATGTGACTGAAGAGATGTATACTTAACCGCAGTTAATCGGAATAAATTGGGATTTCTTAAGCAATCTATCAAGAAAAAAGCAACTGAAAATCAGAAGAATACCTCAAATTCATTTCGCAGTAGTTCATAAATCGCAGTGAAGGTTCACTTTATCTGAGGATTTCTCCACTGAATCTGAAATCTGCGAGTGAACAAACTTCTGGAAAAACGAAAGCAAAACCATTCGGCCTGTTTCTTTTGATGGGCCATCTCTCAAATATGATTTCGGGCTCAAATATTAGGCCTAGTTATATATTTTTTCATATTGGGCCTATTGAGAGGGCCCAATCGAAAATACGACCCATATCTATAAAATCGTTTCATTTTTTCTGTTCCCGGCTGTAATCCTAGGGTTTGTGCTCCGCTCCACTACACAGTAAGTGTCACTCAGCTTTATCGCCGCCGCCTCCTCGCTCCGCCGGGCACCGGAAAGCCGCCACCATGGGTCGTATGCACAGCCGAGGGTCTGCTTTCTTTCTATCTGTACGTATTTTTATCATTTTTATTATTTCTGATTTTTTTTTTTTTTTTTTTTGGGGATATTGCAGAAAGGGTATTTCAGCATCAGCACTTCCCTATAAGAGGACTCCACCGAGCTGGCTCAAGATATCTTCTCAGGATGTAAGTGATCAGTTAAACCTTTTTTGTGTTCTTTTCATTTTTCAGCTATCTTATCAGATGCTTAATTTGTGTGATAAGTGATCAGTTAAACCTCAGCTGTTGTTTGATTATTGATACAAACTTTTATAGTACAGTATAAATTGGTGCATACAATGCTCCTTGTTTGATATGCTTAATGTGTGTTCCCTACTTTATTTAATTATTTATTTTCCAATTAATTGTATAGAGTTTGTAGATTCTCCAGTAGTTAGCCTTTTAGTACTGCCATTTCTAAAATAAGTTCAGAAAATGGACTGTGGTACAATATAGGTTTTTACTTCATTTGGGCTGCACTGTCATTATTATTTGCTTAATCTCAATTTCGCATCGAAAAATTTCAATTAGTTATACTCTCCAACACCTTTATCCTTCATTTGTCGTTGATTGTTTGATTTCAGTTTGTTTCATTACTCTGCCTGGTCCATAAATTATGACTCGTAGGTCGTATTTCTTCCCTCATTGCTTAATTTCTTAGTTTAAGATTCCTTATGTGTGTCACCACTTCTGAAATAATCCACTTTGTGTTCAGGTTGAAGAGAGCATTTGCAAGTTTGCCAAAAAGGGGTTAACACCTTCTCAAATTGGTGTTATTCTTCGTGATTCTCATGGGATTGCTCAAGTGAAGAGTGTGACTGGCAGCAAGATTTTAAGGATCCTCAAGGCTCATGGTAAAATACGATCTCCATCCAAATGTTTTGTTGTCTAGTGATTGGTGTGAATTAGTAATTTTTTTTTTTTTTTAACTTATCTTTTACCACAGGGCTTGCTCCTGAGATTCCAGAGGATCTTTACCACCTCATCAAGAAAGCCGTTGCCATCCGGAAGCATCTAGAGAGAAACAGAAAGGACAAGGACTCCAAATTCAGGCTGATTCTCGTTGAGAGTAGGATTCACAGACTTGCTCGTTACTACAAAAAGACCAAGAAGCTTCCGCCTGTCTGGAAATAGTAAGTCCATTTTTTTTTCTCACCTCTTGTACAAAGTTATACTACCTCCTATTTTAAATAGATGTCATTTTGGGATGTTGCACATCTATTAAGAATATTTTTTTTGTCAATAATAACCTTATTTAATGAAGATAGAGATGAATGTTTTGAGAAAAAAATGAAGAGTGATTATGGAAAGACGTGATGTATTTATTAGTTAAATGAGGGTAATAATGGAAAAATATGTACAAAAGATCCAAAACGACATTTATTTAGCAAATAGTTGATAAAGCTAGAATGACATTTAAAAAAAATAGGAGGGAGCATTATGCTTTTCTACATGAAAAAATGGTTGATCCTCTTGTAAATGTGCCGGCTGTCAGACAAGTCACTTGTTTGAGCTTCAAATCAAACAATTCTATGCCAGATTGTATTGTATTTCCATTGTATATTGTAATATATTTTGGCATGCCTGTCTGAAGTATCATGTACATTAGTTGTTTTACCTTGTACAATATTAACCTTCTGTACTTCTTATGCAGTGAATCCACTACTGCTAGCACTCTCGTGGCTTGAAGAGCTTGCAAGGAACAAATATGCATTTTGTATTTCCAGTTATAAAGGGACTCACTAGAATTTGTTACGAGACTAGTTTATTCTGGTTTCTGTACTTGCTGATGTTGATCAATTTGCTAAACCAGTAGTGTGTGGTGCTTTGGAGAATTTGTTTTGATGTTCTGTTCAATTGATCACTTTTTACTCTGCAATATGTTGGCGTCATATTATTCATTCATTTGGTGTTAAAAATGTGCCTGCCTGGCGTTTTCCAAATTTGTCGGATTTGGGACGTGTTTGAAACATTGTATAAGCAAACAAATCATTTGCATGTCTGCTTTACTGCAGATTCATCTCTTCAGATCTTGCTGTCCTAATGCAACTTACTACATTCAGATGTGTACCAACCATTTCCAGGAAAATAGAAGACATAACGTGAGAAAATACAATTACAAATACATGCTTCATAATAAGCCCATCTCACAGACTGCAGTACAAAACCAGTATACAAATAGGACGACTAAAATCTATGCTGCAACCTTGTATTCCCATAGAGCATTTTACTGCTTGTATATAAAATCCAATTTACTACACTCTTATGACGTGGCTGGTTTAATCAATGTTGATTGTGACAATCTTTTTTGGCCTCCCTCTGGATGATTGTGCTTGAAGGTCCCGATCAACACCCGGCTCATTATTTCTAACTGAATGTTCTTTGAATGGATTCATAAATCCTCCCCAAAATCCCAGTCTGCTTTCTCTTCTACTTCCCGAGCCTGTCAAAAGTTTACAACATTAACCAAATCTATACCAGGTAAGAAGTCTTCTTTTCCTCTACAGAGGAGGAATACTAC